AATCAACCTAAATGCCTAAAAACATCAGAGTAGTTGCAAGAGCTGGGAGAGGGCCTCCTAATGTTCTGCCCAGTAAAGACTGCACCTAGCCCTTGGAGAGCACCTAGCTTGGAGACTTATGCAAGATTTGTGACTTTACAAACTAGAATTGCACATCCAATTCAAGAAAATATATTAGGAAAGTATATGAGCTAAAGATTGGTTCAGAATACAAGTTCTCTTCAGGAGAAATGTTTGGCAACATCATCAGACTAGAAAATAAAGAAATTAAAAGAGCAGCAATTGAGGAATTGCAGTCTCTCAGACCAGAAGACAAAGGGAGAAAGGTGTCCATTTTTGTCCCTTTGTGTAAATTATTCCTTGGTAAACTGAAAAATAATTCCAGTGTTTCCCTTTTCCAGATGAAGCCTCCCAAAATTCCACGTCTTTGAAGTGAATTCGTGTATGTGAACTGGAATGAAAGGGCTGAAATTTGAACAAAACACTGTGCTTTTATTATATTCTCACTTTTGTTGGTTTTGGAAGTGAAAAATTTAAGAATTCATGTTTAATTTAAGAGAATGCAGTAACCTAAGTAAGTTTTGCATTTTTGGAATAAATTTAGAAAGATTAAATTATCTCCTAAAATGACATCAACAAAAGAATCTTTAAAGATATAAACCTAAAGCAGTGGGAGTTTGATATAATATATATGAAAATATATAATAATATTGCTAGAATTGAGTGCCATCTTGCACTATGCAACAAATGAGAGGAGTTGTGTGTAAATATAGGCCAAAAGGCTGCATACAAACCTTTGAAGTTATTGTTCAAAATACCAAGTAGACAATGCTGAAGATAAATATAATCATTCCAAGGAATGTAAATTTAGTGAAGAAATTATTCATAATGAATAGGTCTGAGTGCAGGACACCGTATATATCATTCTTTGAAAGATGCAAGAAGCTTTCAAGGTGTCACTCAAGTCACAGTTTGGGTGTTTGTGCTCAGATATAGAACATGGCTACAGATAAACTGAGACCAGGGTATTATCATCACTGCAGACGTTCTACTGAGCTCTGATTCTTAAATTAATATTGGACTCTTTTCTGTCTTATCTCTCACAGTTATGTCTTTCCTATTCTCTGTAACATCCTGCCACCACTTGATAAAGAGATGGATTTGTGGGACATAAGATAAACCATTATTAGCAGCAAGAACAATTTACAAACCTCTTACTTTGTCTCTTGAGAATATTTAGTAAGGTTCTAGATAAAAGAGTAAAAAAAAAGGCTTTTTAAGAAAAGGGGAAAGTTGTTTTTTAAGAGTTTTGCAGAAAAGGCCATGGAAGGTAGACATAAAGATGATGCAGCTACAGACAGCACTTGCAGCACTGTGAGATTCCATGGAAAAGGGGACAAATTGTGAGGACAAGCACAGCAAGGAGTGCCAAACACCAGCTGGGAGGCAAGGCCGTGAGGTTTTGAAGGGGTCCAGTGAAATTATGTCATTCTCAGTACTCCAAAAAGCTTCTCATGCAGGTTCATGCTGCTCAGTGTTGTTTGCATCATTGCCCTGCTGGGAGAGGTGATATTATGTGCCACAGTACAGCAGGACAGCACAAACATTGTGAGACCATGTCAAGACATCACTGTGCTCTGTACTGTATAAGAAACTGGCTTGCTGGGCCTGCAAGGCACAGAATGGCTGACCTGGTGGGTTTGTTCACAAAGCCACATGGTATGAAAACTAACTACAAATATTCAAAATTAGGTAAAGATTGGTCTGTGTTTATAAAGGGCTGAAACTTTTTCTTTTCCAGCCGCAAGTATCTCAAAATAGTTTTTGTTTAATTCTCAAAATATTACTGTAGGAACTTCCTCTGGGAGTTTAGGAAATAAATAGCTTATCCTGGACAGACTGTTTATTTCCAAGATGCTTACTCAAGCAATCCATGTGATTGTAATGTGCCTCCATTTCTCAAGCTCTCTTTCAGCTCCTTAGGGACACATAACTTAAGCCTAGTAATTTTATCCATATACTGACAGATTGTTACTTCTAAATGTAGAACTGGTAGCTCCAATTCTCTATTCATAGTAAAACTATTAATGTGGTGAAAGAGTGGTTTATGATTAGGTAGACTCCCTGGAACCAAAAGTTCAAATTCCTGCGAGATCAGTGCTTTTGCCCCTCTGTCTGCGCTAGATGCATTCCACAACCCCAGGTCATGCACATGAAGCCATGAAATTAGGTCTGTCTCATCAGCTCAAAAGTCCACAGGTCATACTTTGTCAAAAGGGGCTACCCCACTATTTGTGCACATGCTCCCTCACACCTGTTCTTGCTCTACATCATTGTGATAACAGCTGTTTACTGTTAGCTACAAAATACCTGACTTGCAATTCAGGACTAGTGTAGTCCAGCTGCTTTTCAGCTGATAAAAATTACAGTCCTCCACCTAAACCATACCATTTCAAACCAATGGAATTCTAATCTAAGAGCTGATACTTTGAAAACATATGCTTCAATATAAAATGCTGTCATTAGCTGTTAGCTGCAAACACAACATCCACATTGAAATTTACAGCTTTTCACTTGATTCACACTTCCTATTTTCCTAAAAGAAGAGCTTTTTCATGGCAGATTTAACATTAATTTCCCATTTATTTTTTTGAACAAGAAAAGCAGAGAGAAAAAAAATCAGGATGGCAATATACTCCATCAACATACATCAATCTTGCAGCAGATCCTCAATGTGCCTTAAATAGCCATGTGAAGCCAATTAACCACTAGAGTATTTTTGTGATTGAAATAGGCAGCATACAGCAGAAATTAAATAGTAATAAATATAGCATATAAATAAGTTGGCTATCCCATTTTCCTGTGATTAATTAATCCCAGATTTCTATTGGGTATTTATTCATTTAGAAGCAATGTCAATACTCAAAAAAAAAATGCTAAATGTGTTAATTAGGGAGTATCTATACCAAAGGATGGCCAGGGTGGACAGGTTTATAAGAAGGGAAGCAGCAGCTGAAGCTAAAACAAAGGAAGGAAGGAAGACCTCAGAACTTGGTAGGTCTGTTAAACCTGCTATATTTTGTCAAATTTCCTGCAAAATGAATTCTCTGTGATACACTCTGATACTCTCAAATATATTTCTATATATTATATTAAATTTCTCTGTTATTTCTAGGCTTCTCCCCTTTATTTATAGTGGTGTTAGAGCAGAAAAACCTGTTGCTTATACATATTTATCTTTCTAAAACATAGAGAAATGTGAAATAAAAAAAATCACTGTTGTTTTCCACAAAAGCTTTGGTAGGAAAAAATTGTTATAAATTAATTTAAGAAAGAAATAGTTTATAATTGACCACATAATACTGTAGGGGAAAGTGTTAAAATATATAGCTGAGGATAAGTTTGAGAGAGGAGTGGTAGCTGTAAAGTCCTCCTTATTCCCTTCCTAAGCTTAATCATGCAAGCTTCTATGATAAAGACTAAAGGAAGTCAATCTAACTAAACAGGAAATGAAGCAGTCTGTAGACTGAATGCTGCCTATGTGTCACACAAGCTAGCACTGCTAAAGAAGTGAGAGAAAAAATGGGTATCCAAATAAAAATTATGATGGAATACATCTCCCTCTTTGTAAGGGGGGAAAAAAACCCCATAAAACACTTGACTTCTGCTGTATTGAAGAGTCAGTGCTCTATCTCTTGCTGCATCTGTGTTTAGAAACACAAAGTGGATGTGAAACTCTACTAGAAAACTTAGACACTACACAGATGGAAACAAGGAATGAGAGAACTAATGCCTTTTACTTCAGCAAATATATTTCCCTGTCTTCTTGTGCCCTGCTTCATGGTAGTCCTGTTTTGCTGCTCCAAGACCACAGTCTATATACAGCTTAGAATATGGGCCAATCGACCTGCATGAAATAGCTGAACAACCTCATAAAAGCAACGAGTTCAACAATTACTAGGAGTACTTAACTGCTCACCTAATTTAGATATTTATCTTAAATATATCTCAAATCAGATATCTTTATCTTGGGCTTTTCTGCCAAAAAAGTAGCAAAAAAACAGAAAGAAAAGGCTTTTTAGAGAAGGGGAAAGTTGTTTTTTAAGAGTTTTGCAGAAAAGGCCATGGAAGGTGGCCTTTTCTAAAAGATGATGCAGCTACAGACAGCACTTGCAGCACTGTGGGATTCCATGGAAAAGGACACAAAATGTGTCCTTGCTTTTGTTAGTAGTATTATTCCTACCCATTTGCAAACCCCCAGTTAAAAGAAAAAGTTTATTTTTATTGGGGGTTTGCAAATGGATAGGAATAATGCTACTAGAATAAGCAAGCTTGCCATTTTAAATTCAGTTGAAAATAGGCTTGCACAGAACATATATTTTTTTAGAATCAAAATTTAGGGTCAGCTGAAGTAAGACAAATGTCAAGTAAACAGAAGGGAGTTAAGAGGTTTGTGAGCCCCCTTTCAAGGAATTAAGGGAGTGGCAATTTGATTAAGAGATCACTGGTGAATCCAGAAATTCTCGGCCCATCTCTTTAGAGCACTTGATTTCTTGCTGCACAACAGTAGTCCCTCTGCCATCAAATGCTTTTCAGCTACAGAGCATACAGTGTTAGCAGCTGAAACACCAAAAATATATTATTTATATATTTGGAAAGAGGAAACAGTATCTTAATGATGTTGCAGTTAATGAAAAATCTTTAAAAATTCTAGCATACTTGGAGTTCCTCATGCCAAAGGCTGAGAGAGGAGTAAGTGTTGGATGTGTGACCAGCTGTGTTCTCATGTTCTGTTTTCAACATGGCTCTTTTAATTGCTTGAAAATTGATCTATATATAGGATAAATTCCATGTAAAGACAGAATATAGATATGAAAATAGGAACACTTAGGATTTGATTGAACAGCTTGCGGCTAAAAAGCAGCTCGTATTGCATCTTTTACAGTGTGAACAATGACACAATCTTCTTATTTTCTTAAGGCAATAAACCTAACTTCAAGATGTCAGAGGAAGATGACTTTCTTCTGAATGTTAAAAGATCTCTTAAAAGGAGAATGGTGAAACACAGCACCCCGGTGGACTCAATGCTTTCAAGAACAACTCCATCTGTTACAGATCTGACAAATCAGTCAATCAAGGACCAAGATGCTGCAAAGAGAATTTATGGCTCTCCAATGCCACAATCAAATCTAATTAGATCATTATCTCAAGTATCATTAGTGTGTGTTGATGCACACGTTCCTCCTATGTCCCCAAAAAAACTTTCAACAGCATTTGATTTGCAAGAACAAAATAAAGAGAAAAGCCAAAGCTCTCAGCTTGTATTTTCTAGAAGGAGGCTTTCCACTGTGTTGGCCTCTGATGAATCAAATCAAGAGCCAGCTCACAAGATTGTCCCAAACACAGAAAGTCATGCTACCACCAGAGCATTTGTGGATGCTGCAGTAACTCCTAAGAGTGGACCCTCATGGCTTGTTTCTGGAATACCAGGGATAAAAGATCCTCTGGTAACAAAATGCAGAAAGAAGAAAACTGATAAAACTCTTCAGGTAAAGGCTTTCATTTAGTTATTCAACAGCTAAGTTACACAAACTTCTAATAACACAGAATATATACAGATATTCCTAGTAAAGTGGGTATAGTTTACTAATGGAACATGTCCATAACTTTAGCAGTGAGGACATCTCTTTATGATTTGCATCATAGCCTGGTAAACACTGTGATACCATTCCTATCATAGACAAGATGCCATGCAAACTTCTAAACTAGCATTTGCTTCAGCTTGTGAGCTGGTATGATTCATTGTGTACCCAAGTGGAAAGTGTATTTTTTAATATATCTTTATTTAGAAGATACTTAAGAATAGGAAGAAATCAGTAACTGAAATTCTAAAGTTTCTTAATGTTAGCAAGTCAGACCAAATTTGAGGAACAATAACTTTTTCTGTTAAATCCAAACTGTAGTGCTTTATATAAAGAATTACAGTCATTGCAAATGGGATCTTGTGAGCAGTCCTTTTGACTAATGTAGGGTTTTCTGGGGAAAGCTTAAGTTAATAGATGCTCTGCAAGTGTTGGTTGTGTGTGGACCACAAGAACTCCATTTTCTGAAACTTTAGTAATTTTCTAAGGGCCTGTGGAAAGCCCATAGAAAGGACAGGAAGGCAGCAGAGTTAGACTCTGAAGGTTGTCATGTCAGTGTGAAGCCATCAAATTCTGCTCTGCTTTGTTTTTTTCTCTGTACCATATTGTTCCTGAGTGTGTTGAAAACAAGAAAACTTGCCAGCTTTGAGAGTAAAAGCTTCTTTGCTTAAAACAAATGGAAAACTCCACCCAAAACTGAGTTGGGTCATAAGTCCTTTGTGTAGATGGTATCTGAAATACAGAAAGCAGGTGGTATCTGAATAGATTAGGTTGATTAAATAATATTTTTTCTTCTGTTAACAGAGAAAGAAAGAAAGAGAGTGGCTGCTTCGTCAACTTAAAAACATTGAGGAGGCAACTAAACATGAGCTGACAATTGAAGAAGCTTGATTGGGTATCTGTGGGATAAGTGCTGTCACATCCATCATGTGGAAATGGCGCGTTCCGATAAATCACACTCTTCATTATAGTGCCTGTTAGACTTCCTCTTTCCTTCCAAAATGATCTTTTGCTGTTGCTTATTTGTTTTGTCATTCTTTCTTCTTAAATCCAGGAGTAGCCAAGTATAAATTATGATGAGAGTTAAGAAGAGACCCTCTCTACTAAGGAGAGTCAATGTTAATTTATAACGGCTGAAAGGCATAGAACAAAGAAGGGAGGAAGAACTTAATGTTTAAGAATCATTCTTCATCCTGCCACAGACCTCCCTGGCCTTAATCTTTCATGTAGCATTTAAGTCTTATAGGGTTGCTGATCCTTCTTAGCAAGAAGTCACTAGACAAAGTCCTAGTGGCCACATAGAGTGTCATCCTGGTTAGCTAAAGAAGAATCTCTTTCAAAGCTGATGCAATCTGAAATGTTCTTGCTGCTACCTGGTAAAATGAGGAAATACTGAGAGGCACCAAGGATAGAGGCCATTCTTTAGAGATTACTAATTAATGACAGCTTATTTTGAAGTTTTGGTTCAAAAACAGTTTGTCCCAGCCTCAGACTGTAAATGCTACTCACTGTCATACTGGAGATATTTAATCCTTGGCTATGTGTTTTGAGGGAGAATGGGGTTTCTAGGTTTTTTCCCCTCTGGAGCTGCTGCATGGAGGTCAAGAAGGGTGTCTTACCTGATTGCTGTATTGTCAAAATGGTAATTTAACTCAAAGGAACTTTCTGAAGCATCAATCAATAATTGATGCAAAAAGCACAACATTCATGTTCATTTCTACTGCTTTCTGTTATTTAATCTTAGATTATATGGGCAGAGTTTATACTTTCTAAGATATCTATAGAATGTCAGCAGCAGGAATCCAGAACAGATTTACCACCTATATACACATATTTCTGCACTTGTGTGGCTCTAGCATGTGCACTTTCCTGGTTTATACTGGTTTTGCAATTATTCCAGGAACTAATTACCCTAAAGGGGAGAGGTCCCTTTTAAAAGAAGCTGCCAATTAAGAATGGACGCAAGGGGCACTATTGCATTTCCCTTCCACAAACTGTAACTTGTAATATCTTGCATCCGAAGTGGCAGAGAAGTATGTCCCATGCCAACATTATGAGACAGGCCAATCGACAGCATCTGTGTTATACTCCAAAACGTTAGAGTGGATTTGTCATTTTACAGTCTCTCTCAGGATTTAAAAGTAATTAGGATCTTTTTGTTAATGATTCTTGAAGTTAAATTCTTCAGAGTTTCTCAGGAGAACAGCCTTATCCTCAGACCTGGCTTTCTATGAAGTCAGGCAGTGGGGTGATGCTGTCCTTCAGTTCATGAGCCAAGTCATGCTCACTTGGTTTCAAGTTTAGTTAATGTTCTGGAATTTGTTTGTGTGTGTTACCCTGACTGCTTGTCTGGCCTCCACAGGTTCCTCTAGCAACCAGAGAGCTCCTGGCTGGTGTAGATACCAAGCTGTTTTTGAGATAAAATAGGCATGTGCTGCTATTCCCCCTGAGCCTGCAGGCATTTGATCAGTATCTGTGATTTGTTCCAGGGGCTGAACTAAGATCAGGCAAGTGCAAGGTTAGCGCAAAACCCTCCTCTACCCCTGGGAAAAGCACAGATTAGTCTGGCTGTATGACCCAATGCTTAATCCAAAAGTCCCAGTTCTGCCTCTTGTTTATTTGTACCTTCCCAGATAGTCAGTTCCAGTTGTTCCTTCAAGTTTCTCATCCGAGTCTCAGGAAGTCTTGATACCACTGCTTTTCTTTCTCACTGTTGCTTCTCAAAGTCACTCTTGGCTCCTGCCCATCCAGTTTCTTGGTCTTCAAATATCTTTAACTAATGTCTTCTCCAATCTGGTCTCTAGTTCTTTCCTTCCTTAAAAGACACAGATGTCTTTTGTCTTTAGTGCCTGCTCTTCACTGCTGGATTCCTTGCCCATCTGATACCCTCTGGTAACAACACTGTTGTCACACCCTCAAGTGCTTTTGTCTACTTAGGTTGATGCCCTCCATGATGTTAGGCCAAGTGGAAAGGTCATGTGGGACATGTTCCAGACCTTATGAGGCTAGGGTGTAGTTGCTGCAAAATTCGTTCTAAGGCCCTGCTTTGGGCTACATTAAATGCAAAATGAATCCAGGGAATATGGCTACTTAATATCTAAGATATCTTTGGCTTCATTCCAAGTGCAATGCAAAACTTCTGAAATTCAGAACACAAATTATGTGTTTTTCAGGGAGAAAGGCTGCCACCCTGTCAGGTTCATGGAACTAGTTGGTGCCAATAAAATCCCAAAGACTTTCCCCAGTGGAGGAAAACAAATTGTACCGAATCATAACACAGAACTCACTTTGGGTCTTTCCAAATTTTCAAGCTCTACCAGGCAGACAGATGCAAAAATCCAAGTGGTCTCATGACTTTGGAAACTACTTCTATTTCCTTTCTAGAATGTTTAAAAAGAAATAGAAAATACTATCTAATATTTGTTTTGGAATAATGTAGGTGTTTGTGAGCTTGGAAAAGTTATAAAACTGCTTATAGTATTTAATGTGAATATTAATACAATCAACTGGTCCTTCAGGGGTTTTCCAATATATGTCTGATATTCTGCAACCACAGTATCGATGCTTAATTGCATGTAATAATCCCAAGGAACTTCAACCAGCCCTATATAGTACAGACCTTAGTGAATGGTGTTCTCAGAGAAAGGTTTGTGTCTAATTTATAAAATCAAGATGTTGGAAAATATGAAACTAAATTTATCAAATTGCACTTACAAAACTATACTGATATAACTATCCTTCAGATGTAAGAATATCCATAGGGCAAAAATAAAAAAAAAAAAAAAAAAACACCAAGCAACTAGTACTTCTTCATTCTTCTTTTTCTGTATTTGTTTACAGAGTTTGAACTTCCTTTCATTTCTCCAGTAGACTCACAAACCCACTAGAATTAAATTTTTAAGTTTAAATTACAAGGATAGTTCTCTGTCATACTATGTATGTATACTTTGAAAGGAATAGACTTTGGGAGGAGCACTACTAGTATACAGTTTCACTCTTTTTTAACGTACATCCTCTAGTGGCAACAATGGCAAATTACTGTTTGGTTAGTGTTCTCTTCATGCTCGAAGTTCCTTTATGAATATTTATATTACAATATCATCACAGTGCAGAAAAAAATTCTTAAAGGTAGCTGTAAAATCCAACATCTCTAAAAAAGAAGTCTTCCTAATCATTACAGACCTGAAGTATGGATTTCAGGCACTGAGGCTGAAACAGGCTAGCAGCTACAGACACCAGATCCTTATGAGAAGAGAATCCCCAATACATCCTTTTCTGTAAAATAAAAAAGCCCTCTTCCTGCATGAATGAATGTGAATCAGAGTTGCAACATATTATTGAACTTTGGTGTTGTCCTGACATTCAAATGCAACATGGACACAGTTGTAAGTTCAGAACAGCCTTCTCATTGAGAATGTTCTTTTAGGGCAGTATTTTTCCTTTTGGAGCAAAGCTATAACCTTGACCTATGGCGCTGTTTTCAGTATACTTGTCCCTGAATAGATATTGCACAACCTACCTGCTGATGATGACTAAGCATGACAGAGGGAGAAGAACAAAAACATTACCAAGAACAGAGGGAAGAGACAGAAATGTCTTCACCCTGGATTTATGAGCTTGGCCTTGTTCCCATTGAAGCAATGGTAATATTCCTATTGACAGAGCTGGGATTGATCTGCCCAGCTGTGGTGCTTCTGTAGGAGGCCAGTTTGAAGAGAAAAATGTTTAGCATATGTATTCAACATATTTTAGATTTATGTAATAGATCTATTTGTAATAGACAAATAGATCCCTCCTTTGCTCATCACAGCTGAACAATTTTAAAATAACTAAGAAAAGTGAAAAACTTTTAAATAAAACCAGATTTTTTTTTTCCCTTCTAAGTTACAACATAGTTACATTCCTGCTATGGACAAAACCCTGAGTTATAAATCACACAACAGTGTCACTGACCTGTACTTGGTTGTGTTTTGTTCTATAAGACATACAAACACAGGTCTCCCTTAGCCCCATCTGTTGAAGCTCTCCACCACGCTCACTAAAAACAGTTCCCTCCTCAGTATTTCCAACTTACTAGAAACAAATTAACAAACACTGAGCCTACCAGCACCTAGAAAAGTTAGACCAATAGAAACAATTGTGTAACATTTTCAAATATTGCTAAAACTTGAACTAGACACAGATCTTACCACTTCCTTTAGGATGCAGATCTGAGCTGCTCACCCTCACCCTGCCCAAACCTTCCTCAGGTTTGCTATTACTGTGTAGCTACCTAATGCTTCCATGCAATTAAATGGTGCTTAGCAGTGCAGTCAGTCCCAATAGGCGTGTGAATCCTGTAGAGCCTGACAGTTGCCAGTCTCCTGGGTATACTCATACACGTGGCTTTGCAGCACTTAACAGCAGCCCCACCCCTCCATCATGAAATGGTACATGTGCATGGAGATGCATAGCAGACAGCAGCGAGATAGGAGTTCTATCTATCTGATTTCAATTCCAGCAGCCCACAGTACTAAACTCTGGAAGTACAGATTGCATTTCAAATCCCCTTCTAATGTGAGATAGGAGCTTGAAACCAAATGTCCTGGCTCACAAGGCAGTAACCATTGTTTCTAGCCTTACTGTGAAGTCAGTGCTTTTAAGTGTTACCTATAAAAGTAGTTCTACTTTGCCTAAGTGTTTATTAAAAATAATATCTAACTTGCATCATTGTTCTGTCACTCACTGTCCCACATCTGTGTTTTTTTAATTTTTTGTGGATTTCTTTGTGAGGTTTATTTTCCTTTTTTTCTTCATTTTTGTAGCAGAAATAGAAAGAAGAAAGGGGGAAAATATGCTTCATATTTTTTCTGGTTCTTACTGTTGCTGCCATTTTGATCCCTTTTGTTGTC